TCAACATCAATATTTTTTCTTACAGTTAAGCATCAATTTTAGCAATATTAAAAATTATAAAAAACATGAATTACACTAAAAAAAATTGAAAAATACAACTGCATTGCATCAAATAAAACAAATATAATTAAAGAAACCTCTATACAACTTTTACTAAAATAGTTATACACTTTAGGCATATCAAAAAATTAAATGACAGATATACTGATAAAAAAATTTCAATAACAACAGCCAAACATAATATTATTTCTGCACTAGCAACTTCATAAACAAAACATTTATATTGTTAGCAGGAAAAAAGGTATAAATCGTTGGGATCGATGTTTGTTACATGACATGGTGTGATCCATTGGACTCAGCATCAAGAAGTCTAAATAGTTTAAGTTGGGATTTGCAGGATGCAATAGTAGATCAGTCTATGTATCACGACAGGTATAAATAGGAAGGGTTTAGATAGTTAAAATAGGAAGTAACCATCAATATTGTATAAACTTGTAATACTTGCAATTATACTATTATAACTAATAAACTTGCCTTAATTGGATATTAGCTGCTGTAGGAATCCTAAAAGCCTATAAAGGAATGTGGTAGAGAATTAGACTGGTGACTAAAGAGAAGGGAGTTTATTAACAAGTGTCTCTGGTTAGCAAGCAACACAAGCCCCTACATACCTATCATTATGCGATGACTTAGTCCAGAGTAACGACAGACTTGCTGTGTACCGATAACAATATACAATTATTACAACAAAATAGAATAACAATGTACTCAAAATTTCAATAGCACAAGCTATCAAAAAATAAAAACTATCAAATATATTGTGTAATAAACTTTTTAATCAAAATAATATATGAATAATCAATCAAATCACATAACACAAAGATTGAAAAGAATCAATACAATTAATACAGAAAAAAATTATTAATATAAAAGATTTCTAAATCAAATATAGAATAGTGAACTATGTATCAAATCAAATTTATATAAAAAAAACAATAAAATATACTTTATTGAAAATAATTATTTTTTAACAATATAGTAGCAATGTAGTAGTAGTATAATAGAAATATAGTAATGATATAATTTTTTTAAAAAATAATAATATAGTAATAGCAATTTAAATATAATTTTGTTACTATATTGTAATATAATAGTAACAATATAAAAACAAAGCAGTTGCAATTGCGGTAATAATTTTATAACAAAATAATAATATAATAATAGTGTAAAAGTTATTTGAATAGTAGCAAAACATTTATAATATAGTTTTTATTCATATTTAGCAATATAAAAATGATTTAGTAACAATATGATATCAATATAATAACTATATAATAGCAATTTAGTAGCAATAAAATGTAGTAATATAGTAGTTAACACTATTGTAACTGCTTTTTTACTATTATTTGACTATTAAGTAATAATTAAGTAGCAATTAAATAGGGATATTTATAAAAATTGAGCAGTTTCAGCAATATATACAAATGACAAATACCCTATATGCAATTAAACAGAAAATATTATTCACTTATTCACCTGCTAAAACAAAAAAAATAAACAATATATTATATTAAACAAACAATTTTACAAGAATTTAATAAAAGAAAAAATATAACAAATTATATGTCAACTACAAAACAATAAAAATAAGAATTAATAAATAAAATGAAAATACTTTTCTGATTATAATCAATGATGCAATTCTATTTAGGCTAACAAAAATTATCAAATAAAATATAGAAAGCAGCAAATAAAAAACAAATCTTAAGGCAATCAAAAACAAAATTAATTTATATTGTAACAGTATAATGGCGAGTCAGTCGTTAACTCTAGCAGAGATTCACGTAATTGTTACAGTGTAAATGAATAAAAGAGTAAATTTAAGTATGTTTGTATTTGACTGAGTCTTTATTAATTTTCTCATTTGTTCACTACTTCACTATCTTTCATCTCTTTACAATTTACATTCTTTTTATACTTCTCTTTCTTTACAATTGGCTATGGCGACTTGGGTACAGAATAATAAGCTATAGTACAATGATGGGGCTTAGGCTATTTTATATAATTTTTCTTGTCAATTTCCTTTGTCACTCGTTGTTACCTAATTATTACAGCCAACTTACCATTGTCATGACTATTGATTACATGACTACAGTCACGTTCAATTTCTTTCTATTACATTTCTCCACACTTATTCTATATGTACCACGCATTCTTTACAGGATTATTATATTTTCATTTCTATTCCTTCATTTTCATTATTTTTTTTTTGATTATTCCCTTTCGTGGTACTTCTTTAGATTCTGGATATTCATCGGGGATGCAAGTACCTTGTTGTTCATCGTGCGTAACTAATAGGCGTGGTCAAATAGTTGGTCATGTATATAAAATGGTTTTCTCCACTTGGAATCAAACTTATTGCTTCGCGAATATTGTAGGATGGCTCTGTACATAAGAACTTTATCTTCTATGTTATATTCGGGGAACTTCAGGTATCGCTTGTCGTGGTAAGTTTTTTATTGAATTTGAGCTTGCTGTATATGGTGGATTGCATTTTGCTAGGCTCTTGAGAGTTGTTTGATTAGGTCAAAGATTCTTTGTAGGATAGTTCCGTCTAGTATATCCATGGTAGAACTCAGGTGTATGGGTTGTCGCGCATCCCTCCATACATCAAAAAGAAAGGGGACATTCTTGTCATAGAGTTCTTTGCCATTCTATATGCAAAGAGAATTGAAGGCAATAATAGATCCCAGTCAATGTTACATTCAAAAAACTTAGCTATAGCTTCGTACAGCATTTTATTGAAATGTTCGGTTAATTCATTCGTCTGAGGGTGGTAAGGCATAGGCAAATGGTGCTTTGTTCCAAATTTAGTCACTTATTCTTGGATTGTGTGGTTTTGAAAGTGTGTTCCTCGATCCGAGACGATATACTGCGAGCAACTGTATCTGCATACGATCTTGTTATACAGAAAGTCAGCAACAGTAGTAGCATCAGTTCTCCTTACCACTTTCGTTTTTGGCCGCTTTGTTATATAATCAATGGTGACCAAAATATAATGGTTTAGTCTAGGGGATGCGGAAGAGGCCCAACGAAATCTATTCTGACCTGATGAAAAGGGGCAGTTACTGGTATAGGGCACAGCGGTCCGGGTTTACTTCTTGTTTTTCTCTTCTGATATAAGTCGCAACTGTTGACATATTTCCTAATATCTTCATACATCTGTAGCCAGAAGTAAATGCCACGAATTTTTTTGAACACAACTTCCTTACCAAAATGGGCACCTGTTGGATGTTGGTGTGTTAAAAAGAGGATCGACTTAATCTTGTATTTTTGGATCATGTATAATCGTTATTTCTTTCTTCGTCGGTCTTTTTTATATAAGATTCCGTCATTATACTTATAGAATTCGCTCTTTTTCGATAGCTTGTGCTTCTCTGTTACATTCATGGTTGAGGATAATCTTTGATTCTGCAGATAGGCTCTTAACTGGTTATAATGTATTGGATCCATTATTTCTAGTTATTTAGACAAAAACAAATCTAGTTAATATGCCAGGACACCAGAACTTGGGCTGGATTCTGTTTCTCGAATTGAGGTATATAAAAGATTTTTTTTTTAGGGGGGAAAGTTTTGACTGCTTAGAGGCGGGATAACACGTCAGCGTTATTATTTCTTTGTTCGCTTCTATGTTAAATAGTGAAATTATATGGTTGAAGGCAGAGCATCTATCTAGCTCTCCTCCTGGTAAGTTTCAATGTTTTTAACTATTGAAGTATCATGTGGTCAGTTATTATAATGAAAGAATTTAATTTGTAATAGTGATAGAAATGCTCTACCATTCAGATGACAGCCAAGTACTCCAATTCTGTCACAGAATAATTTTTCTCATGTTGCATTAATCATTGGCTTGCGTAAGAGATAAAAAATTCTTTCTAATCACCATTTTTCTGTACCAGGACAGCTCCTAAGCCATATCCGAAGGCATCTGTGTGCATATGGAAGGTCTTTGTAAAGTTAAAATATCATAAAATTGAGATAGTAACAAAGTGCCTTTTTAAAGACTCAAATGCCTGATTCTGCTCTTCTTCCTATTGAAATTCAACACCCTTTTTTAATAAATAATATAGGAGTCGGGCTATTATCACAAATCCTTTAATAAATTGCCAGTGTACAAAGACGATTCTATAAACCCGCGTAGTTGCTTTATGTTTTTAGAGATTGGAAAGTTCTTGACTTTTTCGATCTTGATGTTATCAGGCTTGATCCTATCCCTCTCGACAATGTGACCTAAAAATTGAAAGTTGGAGAAGAAAACTACACATTTCTCGTGGTTCAGTTTTAACCCGCTAATTTTAATTCTCGTAGGACTTCCTCTACATGGTTTAGATGCTTCTTAAACGTTACTGAGAAAATGATAATGTCGTCGAGATAGATAATGACTGTTTTTTCTAAGTATTTAGCTAACACTTTATCCATCAAGCGTTGGAATGTTGCTAGAACATTGCATAGTCCAAATAGCATGACGTTGAACTTGTATGTTCCAAACACCATAACAAATACCATTTTCTACTTGTCCTTTTCTCCTATGGCAACCTGCCAGTAGCCACTTATTAAATCTAAGATGGTGAACCATTTTGTTCTTATGAAAGTTTCTAACAAGTTGTTGATCCAGGGTAGAGGGTAAGTATCTTTCTTGATTACCACGTTCAGCTTGTGGTAATCAATATACAATCTCAATTTTCCAGCCTTCTTTAGCACAACCACTATGGGGAGACCTACGGACTTTGTAATTTCCTGATCAGGTCTCTCTTCAACAATTGGGGGATTTTGTTCTGAATAAATTCCCTTACACTTGGGATTGCCTGGTATGCTGCTTGTTTGATTGGAGCCACATCTCTGGTGTTAATCATATGGCAGACCCTATCCGTACGTCCTAATTCGCTGACGGTTAGTGCAAAGGCGTCTTTTTCTTTTTCTAGCAACCTTTTTGCTTGATCTCATTCTTCGGGATCTAACTCCTCACTTACTTTGATCTGTTCAATCCCTTCCATCATCACGGTTTCTTCGTGCTTGGTGATTACTGTGGATAGTTCTTCAATCTGAGATAGATAGGCAGCGGGGCTCGGTAGTTCCTCGGGAAATGTTATTTCTTCTCTATCCATATCTTCTGTGTAGTACCCCTCCATATCTTTCACGTCTTCTTCTAGTATTTCGTCTAACTTTTCTTTGAGATCTGTGGGTTTATCATCATTCAGTTATTCTTTGGGGTTGTTAAAAATGGGCACTTCCATTCTGTTGCCTTGATGGTATAGTATTATTTTCCCTCGTTGAAATGAATATGGGCCTGCATTTCTTTAAACCAATCATTCCCTAACAGCATGGTTTCGTCCTTGGAATCGATTGCTTGGAACATGCATGGGATGTCAGTTCCTTGAATAGTGATTCTCATGTTGTTGATAATATTCAGTATCCTTGTTCAACCCATGATCATGATGATGGTAGATATAGATTTTCCATTTATTTTCAAGTTCAGTTTATCTATCAGTTTCTTCATGATAAAGCTAACTGCTGCGCCAGTGTTAATTACTGCTACAACATTTTGATTATGGATTCTGATGTAACATTTCGTGATGATTGTCTTCTTCCTGTTATTGGTATCAACGTACATTGTTTCTTCTAGTATTGTTGGCCTGCGCAGGGCCTTTGCGAGATTCTTCTTTTGCTCGGTGTATTGTAATATTTGTCCAATCGTAACATTCGCAGGTGTGGCTAACAGATTAGTAACAATATTATATGATGGCTCTGATTTGATTCTTAACGGATCCTTCTTCCTTCGTGAAGCCCTTTGAGGCATATCCTTCAGTTTTTCTTCCACTAGTTCCTCCTCCATGTGCTAGATCGGATTCTCTCTACTGGTCTCTTCTTGGGGAGGTAATCCTTGGATCATCGTTGGTCTTGCTTCAACATTTCTGTGGTTCCTCAAATATCTTTTTTATTTCGATCAGGCCCTTATGTCATTTTGGTTTCTGGTATACAGTTGGTATCTTTAGTAATGTTATATACTTCATTCTCATTCTCTACCATTTTCACATATTAGGCTTCCATTTTGGGTCTTGTTAATTGTGCAGGTTCATTTCTTCAGGATTGGGTCTTTCCGTTGTGCAGTTTCTTGCATAGTGGCCCTTCTCCTACACTTGTAGCATGTAATATCCTGTAGGTTTGGCTTAGTTTTCATTCTGTGTCTGGGTTGGGTTATTGTTGTTGTGATGAGTTTGGTATAATTGGCTGCTAGTTCTTGTACTTGCCAGGTTAATGCTGAAATGCTGGCTTCTAGTAGGCATTTTTCATATCTTGAGTGGTCGGCTTGCTGTAATACTCCCCAGCTTCAACCTTCCTTGCTCCTGTAACTGCTTTCTTCAAAGTTTCTGGGTCTATTATGGATAACAGGGATGCTACCTTACCTTTCAGTTTTCTGGTAAACATTCGCACCATGTAGGTTTGTGGTAATGCATTATCAGAATCTATCTTCTTTAACAGTTTTCTGAATTTATAGGTGTACATTCCGACTCGTTTCCCATCCTTTTAACAGAGCATGTTTAGTTTTATCTGCCATTGATGCTTTTGTTTGGCAGTGACAAAATACTGAAGAAAAGTGTACACAAAATTTGCATCTGGATCTCGATTTTTGTTCCAATAGGTGATCACATTTTTCTGGTCATGGCACCAGTCTGCGGCTACGCCTGCTAGGTACCCCGATGTGATGTTGATCCTCTGTCAGTTGGCCCAATTGTTGGCATTTACAGCTCGCTCAAATGCTTCTAGCCATTAGAAAGGGTCTTCATCATCTTCTCTATAGAAATTTCGAAATCTGACCAGGTTCTTTTTTTGGTCCCCTGATGGCATGAAGCTACTAGCTCCTGTGTTATATGTTGCATTCATGAGCTCCCTCAGAATCAAGTCGACCTGGTCCTGACCGATCTGGTTATCATTATTTCTTAAGGATTTGTTCTCGTTCTCACTGCCTTGTTTGCTAAACATTTTCAACAAAACAAAAAAGAAATAAGCAAATATATATATATATATTTTTTTGTTTTCATTTTTCTATTTTTTTTTTTTCTATCAATTAGGTTTTTAATTGGCAATTTTTCTCTCATCATGCTTTGGATGGTCTGGTATGTATCTTTACTTTTTTCTTGCAGGCGATTTTCTCTCATCGTGCTTTAAACAGTTCTCACAAAAAATTATCAGGGAGTAATCAGATGTCATCTTTGTACGAATCTCACAGTCATCACCAAAAATGTAACAGTGTAACGGTGAATCAGTCACCAACTCTAGCAGAGATTCACGTAACCATTACAGGATAAATGAATGAAAGGGTGATTTTAGGCGTATTTGTATTTGACCAAGTCTTTATTAATTTTCTCACTTGTTCACTACTTAACTATCTTTCATCTCTTTACAATTTACATTCTTTTTATACTTCTCTTTCTTTACAATTGGCTATGACAGCTTGGATATAGAATAATAAGCTATAGTACAATGATGAGGCTTAGGTTATCTTACATAATTTCTTTTGTCAATTTCCTTTGTCACTTATTGTTACCTAATTATTACAGCCAACTTACTATTGTCATGACTATTGATCATGTGACTACAGTCACGTTCCATTTTTCACTGTTACAATATCTAAAAAAAACATTGCATGAAAAATATCAACAATTTATCAACTGGGAACAATATTTTAATATTATAAACAAAATAAAATAAAAAACAGACAAATATAATCAAATTATATTTCTATAAGATCCAATAAAAATTTTATATTCACAAATAGTTAACAAATATAGTAAAAAACTTAAATAAGAATCATACAAAATCTTCAAATACTATAATATTTATATCTTTGTTAATAGAGCCTTGATATATTAGTTAGTTTTATTTACTTTAGATATATTATTGTTTCTAGGAACTAGTAACAAACTGTACTATAATATAGTCTAGTAAATTATTTTATAAAATAGACAATATATATAAAATTATATATTTTAAATCTTGATCAATAAAATAACAAGACATATGCAAAAAAATTATTATATTGTTAAAATAAAAGTTATTTGAAAGATTTCAAACTGATATTAAAATGATATTAAAATAATATTAAATAGTATTTTTTTTTTAACCCTTGCCATAATATTAAATAGTATTGACTTATAATAATTTAATATATAAATTATAATCTACTATATTAAACTTATATTAAATTAAGTATTAAATTAATAACAAATATTATTATTAAAAACTCTATTATTATTAAGTTAATATTATTTTTATATAAAAATTTAGTACTTTTTCAAAATTTAATAAATTAAAAAAAAAAATTAATTTATATTCTAGATATTTTCTCAATATATTTGTTTTGGATTTTGATAGTATTCTGTTTGAATAATGATAGATCACTATTAAAATAATCTTTGGAAATATTAAATTTCTATCTTTATTGTAATAAAGTCAATAGAAAAATTGGACTTGTTTAATTAATTAAGATTTTTTTTAATTTATTTAGAGTCAAAAAATTTAAATAAAAATTTTGTTTTATATTTTTAATAAGATTATTTTTCTCTTATTAAATAATAATAAATAAAAAAATAATGTTAATAATAAAAAGTTACTTTACTTTTATATAGTTAAATAAAAACCATTTTATAGTATAATTGTTGTTTTTGAAAAGTTAAAGTTTTTAATGCTATTGTTAACAGGAAATGTTTAATTTGTTATAATATATGAATTCTTATATAATAAAGAAAAGTAAAGCTTTAATAAAAAAATTAAAATAAAATTAAGATATTTGTTTAAGATATAGTAAAATTTTCTAAGTTTATAACTTGGAATTTTGGTTTAGCAAGTTTATATCTTTCTGTTAAAAAATTTTTTTGTTGTTTTTAAATTAAATCTAAATCATTAAAAAAATAAGTTTTTAATAAAATATAAAGTATATAGATTGATATTAAAAAATATTTTAAGACTTATTACAATATTATAGATTATAATTAAGAAGTTTAACAATTTGATTTGATTTGATTTGATTCTCAATAATTAGATTTATATTAAATTAAATATATGAATTATAAAGTACTATTATTTTTAATAATGTTTCAAATCTTATTTAAGTCTATGTAAGTCTGTTTAATTTCAATTTTTGAAACTATAGTTATAATTAGAATAGCTTCGAAAAGATTAATTTTAGTTAATACTAATATGTCATTAGAAATTTTAAGCAGATATAATATACTGTATTTTTTTGAATAAGTTTTTATAAGTTCAATATATCTTCTAATAATAAATTTTTTTAAAATGAGTTTAAAAAAACTTAAAGTTATAGTTAAATAACTGGTTAGTATTCAAGCAAAAAAAATTCATGAATTAGAGATTTATATAAAAAGTATTTGTTAATAGTTTTTTGATTTTGTTTAATTGTTCCTTTACTATAATTCAAATTATTACATAATAGTTAAAATAAAATTTTTTATAGGCATATGTATTTTTTAATATTAACTTTTAATTAATTTATTTTTTGTTAAAGCTCTAAAAAATTTAAAATTCTATATTTAATTTTTGAGATGATTTTTTCAAGATCTTAAAAGTAATAGTTGACTTATTTTTGATTTTGAGAAAAATGTTAACAATAATACTAACAGTTCTATTATATTGATTAATTTCTTTGTAAATTCTTACAATTTTTTTTGTTTATTAAAAAACATTATAGTTTTGATATTAAATATATCAAAAGATTTGTTATTTTGTATTATCTTTATTAATTAATTTGTTTTATTTAAAACTATTTATGATCTTTGAATTTATAAAAAAAGTTTGTTTATATTAAAAAATAATTAACAATACAATAAAATAAAAACTCATTTCTATAAATAATTTTTCTGCAAAAATTTTCTTTTATAGTAATACCCTTTAAAACAAAATTTTTTTTCTTAAGTGCTTCAAAGCACACAACCCATATCTATTACTTATACTATTATGACTACAATGTTTTCAACAAACAATAAACAATTTCTTTATATTACTATTCATATTGACTGAAATAAAAAATATTAAATTTATTATTTTAACTTAGAAACAAACATATTAAAAAATAAAAAAAACTCTTTCTTAATCGCATCAAAACTACCAAATTAGGAAACACCCAAGAAAACAAAATTTCGTCTCAAGGAAAAAACAAGGAGGAGGGAGGCCCCCCTCCCAAACCTCCCAACCCAAA